TTTCTTTTCTTTTGCTCTAAATCATTGTGATTATCCATACTTCAAAGTAAAAGTAGCTTAATCGAAACAAAATAGTATCTTTAGTAAACTTCAAGAAAAATTGCAGCTTTCATATGTTTGCAGAAATGAATTTTCTTCTTTAGTTCTGTGGAAAGTGATACTTCAGCATAAACTATGCAGTGCTACTACTACAGCTTTAACTTTAAAAAAGACTAAAAATTTGGGTTGTGCTTCCACGTACCTGTACTCTTGATTGCTCTAGTTGCTCCACTAGTAATTGCTCTTGAAATAGTAAAATATATATTCAGGCCTTTCAGATTGCAGGAATTAGTACATGTTACAATCTGCAACATAATCTGACATCTCTACTGAATAACTGAAGGAAAAAAAATGAAAAATGAAAATATAATAGAACCTTCCTCTCCTTCACTGACAATAATCCTTCATTTAATTGCTGTTCTAGTTGCTGCAATTCTTTCAAGCTCAAACCAGTCAAGTCCTTACCCAATAGCCTTCTACACAATCAGAAAAAATATTATTATTACGTGTAAGGATCTCACAGTATTCCAAAAATGTAAGAATTGAGTAAATCCATATTGATAATGTCAGAAGTTTTTGCTTAAGCCTCATCAAACTAGAAGTTTTTTAATTTGAATTTATGAATTAAGAACTAAAAGCTCATAATATGCAGAAAATGACATACATTCTCCAGAATCGACTTTGAGATCTCTTTCTGCTCCAGCAATTTATCGTCCAAATTCTGGACTCTCTGTGTCAGGTGCTTCTTTGTGTTCTGTCCAGCATAAGAATGTTTAATACAGTCATTTCAATTGTTAAAATCTCATCAAACAATATAGGTAGTTGGGACTTACCCAGACAAAGGTGAACGAAGCCCAAATGTTTAGATACACCATGCAAGACGAAGCCAGAATTGCTGGAAACCATCTATTAGATACACCAAATATGCCAATGAAGCAATCACCTGCATAAATTAATAGAAATGTTTCAAAATGCACATCCAATGCCAGCTATCAAAGTGAAGAAAGCAACTAAAGTAAATTACTAATGACCTACAAGCTGAACAGCCAGAAATATAAAAATAATGTCTCTAGTGACAAAGAATCGGAATTTCAAGGTTCGCCATTTTCTATCAGCAATAACATGAACTCTCAAATGGTAAGGAGCCTTGCAGGTTGTGCAATGAGCAAATGCAAACCCTTCCTGAAAAAATTAAAGCAAGATAGTCAGATACAGATGAGAAACCACTAACCAGCAGCAAAACCTGAACATGTGTATATATGCTGTTAGTTTGTCTGAATCAGCTAAATCCTACACCTTATTCAAAGCCATTAAAAGCCCACTTCTGAGTTCTCCAAAGATAACCATACTGCAATACACTAAAAGTCCAAAACTTAGTCAATTAGTCGTGTAACAAGGAAAGAAAAACTAATTTGCTACCTGTTCCTACACCTGCGAGACACACTGTTGTAAATATCCTCTTAACACAACAGTTGATAAACGAATCATGACATTGCAACCCATCAATATGTCGATTCCATTTCATTATGCTAGAGACATTGGTGTTGAAGGAACTTCACTTCAATAAACTTCATTTCATATTTTAACTGCAACAAGCACATTTTAATGTGCATAAATGATTCATAGAAACCCATAAACCCAAACCCAATTTCTAAGCAACCCCTAAACACTAAAACCCTAAACCAATTTCTTACAAATCCATACACCATAAACCAAATTCGCAAAAACCCCAAATTTCAAAGAAAAGGTTTATGAACAATACCTCGTGGATGTCAACGATGGAGTCACGCTTGGATGAACAGCCACCGTTGAGAGAGAAAGATGATTGCATCGAAGAGAGAGAGGTACACGAGGGAGAGAGACCCGAAGAGATAGAGCGAAGAGACTTAGAGAGAGAAGCCAATTTCTGACAAACTGATATGGGTACAATAAGTGGACAATAATTTTATATTTATAGGTAGTAGATGTACAAAAATTAGGAAGGGGTGGTATTTTTAGTTAAAATTATGAAATGGGTGGCATTTTAGGCTATTTCCCAAAAGAAAAACTGAGTGCAGCCGACCGGCCATACTATTTTTAAAACAAAAAGCCAAAAAATCGAGTATAGTCGTACGGTTATACTATGTGAAAAAAAGTGGACCCCCTTGAGCCCACCAGTCAAAATAAGTATAACAGACTGGCTATACTAACTTTAAAAAAAGAAAAAAGAAAAAAAAGAGTATAGCCGCCCGGCTATACCATTTTTACAACAAAAAAAAAAACCCCCAAGTATAACCGATCGGCTATACTATTTATACATGTAAAAGAAAGAGGACCCCCTTCTATTAGACGCTCACGTGTCAAAAAATTATCTCCGCCCGGCTATACTATTTTCAAAAACATTAAAAAAGGCAAGTATAGCCGCCCGGCTATACTGTTTTTACAAAAATGTTGTTGCCTCCATTATAAGAATATAATTGCACATTGTGCTTTGCACATGTAACCCCTGTTCAATGAAGAAGACGACGGCAGTGAATATGAACTACAAGAAATGAAAATCAGCAACTACATGCCATTTAAGTATGAGAACATTCTCACCAAATATAGAACCATCCGCACTGGCAGATCTAGTAAGGCACAAGGAGCTGCACCTCCCCTTACCGGAAAAATCATTGTAGATGCTTCAAATTGCCCATTTGCTCAACTAGTGTATAGATTACCTTCAAATCTTTGTCCTTTTACTTTTATTTATTTTTATATTACTTA